GTGGCCATGGTGATGTGGGTGTGGCCAGATTTGTGGGTGTGGTCAGAGGTGTGGGCATGATCAAAATGGGGTGTGACCGGATTGTGGTGTGGGCGTGGTCAGATGCTGGGCGTGGTCAGCACATGGGCTCGGCTGGAATGGGCGTGGCCAAGTGGTGGTGTGGGCGTGGTCAGGTAGTGGGGCGTGGTCAGGGTAGCATGGGCGGGGACACCACAGGCCACACCCCATCGTAGGTTCTGAGGAACAGGGGCGGGTCAGAGCCACCTGCCTCTGGCAGCACCTGAACCTGGGTGTCCCCCCAGATCCTGGCCGAGTGGAAGCAGAAGTATGAGGAGTCGCAGTCGGAGCTCGAGTCCTCGCAGAAGGAGGCTCGCTCGCTCAGCACCGAGCTCTTCAAGCTCAAGAACGCCTACGAGGAGTCGCTGGAGCACCTGGAGACCTTCAAGAGGGAGAACAAGAACCTGCAGGGTGCGCGGGGCCCGCAAGCAGGGTGGGGGGCGCTGGAGGGGCGCGGGGGGGGTCGGGGTGGCTGGGGCCCGAGAGCGCTGGGCAGAGTTGTGAGCTTCTGTCCCTGTGGCCCGCAGAGGAGATCTCTGACCTGACGGAGCAGCTAGGGGAGGGCGGCAAGAATGTGCATGAGCTGGAGAAGGTCCGCAAGCAGCTGGAGGTGGAGAAGATGGAGCTACAATCGGCGCTGGAGGAGGCTGAGGTGTGTGTGTGTGTGTGTGTGTGTGTGTGTGTATGTGTGTGTGTATTGAGGGGGTGTTGCATGGAGGAGGGGGCAGGATGCAGGCAGGGGGTCTCCTTCAGTTCTAGGCTGCATCCTTGTTTCTATCAGCCTTTTCTCTTTTTGTTTTCACTGTTTCTCTCTCTGAGCCCAGAACAGTGTCTGGCACAGTAGGCACCCAGGGAAACATTTGTGGAAGAACAGAAGAAAGTGGGGGGTCCTCTCATTCCCCCTTATAGAACACTTTACACTTTAGGTTAAGATTTCCCACCTCTGCCTCCCCAGGCGGGCTTTCTTATGTTCTGTGCCTGGTTGCCTGTTTCCTTGGAAACACCTTTCCCTTCATTTTCCTCTTTGTCTTCTTGGCTGCCTCTCCCCTGTGAGGGCCTACTTCCCCTTTTCTGAGACTTTTCTTTTAGATGTGCTTTTCTTCTTCCTTCTTCTGTTCCTTTGACCAAACCGCGCTGACTGCTCTTGGACTTGCTCTGTATCCGTGATTAAGGATCACCCCACCCTCTCCCCCACCCTTCCCAGGCCTCCCTGGAGCACGAGGAAGGCAAGATCCTGCGGGCCCAGCTGGAGTTCAACCAGATCAAGGCGGAGATCGAGCGGAAGCTGGCAGAGAAGGACGAGGAGATGGAGCAGGCCAAGCGCAACCACCTGCGCATGGTGGACTCGCTGCAGACCTCGCTGGACGCAGAGACGCGCAGCCGCAACGAGGCCCTGCGGGTGAAGAAGAAGATGGAGGGCGACCTCAACGAGATGGAGATCCAGCTCAGCCACGCCAACCGCATGGCTGCTGAGGCCCAGAAGCAAGTCAAGAGCCTCCAGGGCTTGCTAAAGGTAGGAGGAGACCCTGGTGCGCAGGAAGTCCCCTTCCCCAGAGCAGGAGCGTGACTCTGTGTGGCTGGTGGTGGGTTGCTGACGTCTCATCACCAATTCCTACCTCTCTGGCTCTTGCAGAAACCCCCTGCAGGCCCCACCTTGGGTCACAGTCCTGAAAATGCCCCCCCACCCCCTGGCACTTTTCAGCCTTCTGCTGGATCCCCTCTCATGTCCATGCTCCCGTTCCCCAGGACACCCAGGTCCAGCTGGACGACGCGGTCCACGCCAATGACGACCTGAAGGAGAACAGTGCCATTGTGGATCGGCGCAACATGCTGCTTCAGGCCGAGCTGGAGGAGCTGCGGGCCATGGTGGAGCAGACGGAGCGCTCACGGAAGCTGGCTGAGCAGGAGCTGATTGAGACCAGCGAGCGGGTGCAGCTGCTGCACTCTCAGGTGAGGGGGGGGAGGTGAGCCCCTGGATGCCCCTGGAAGGAAGGGCAGAGAGGGTACTCACGCTCTGTCCATCCCAACCCTCAGAACACCAGCCTCATCAACCAGAAGAAGAAGATGGAGTCAGATGTGAGCCAGCTGCAGTCGGAAGTGGAGGAGGCAGTGCAGGAGTGCAGGAACGCCGAGGAGAAGGCCAAGAAGGCCATCACGGACGTGAGTGGACGCCAGTGCTTCTCACGTCCCCTAAAGACACTGTGCAGGGTCTGGAGTGATAGTACAGCGGGTAGGGCATTTGCCTTGCATGCTGCTGACCCGGGTTCAATTCCCAGCATCCCATATGGTCCCCTGAGCACCGCCAGGAGTAATTCCTGAGTACAAAGCCAGGAGTAACCCCTGAGCATTGCAGGGTGTGACCCCCAAAAAAGCAAAAAAAAAAGGCACTGTGCAGGACTTGGGGCCAGCAGACCTCTGTGATGGCACTGGGCTGACTCTGCAGTGGCCTGAGTACAAGGGCCTCAGGGAGCAAACACCAGGATGGGGCGGGGGTGGAGGAGATGCTGGACCAGAGGAGGCCTGTGGGGGCTGGAGCAATAGCACAGCAAGTAGGGTGTTCGCCTTACACGCAGCTGACATGTGTTCGATTCCCAGCATCCCATATGGTCCTCCGAGCACCGCCAGGAGTAATTCCTGAGTGCGGATCTAGGAGTAACCCCTGAGCATCATTGGGTGCGACCCAAAAAATGAAAAACAAACAAAAACAGTGGAGGCCCGGGTTCCTCACTCCCGTCTCCTGTGGCCAGGCCGCCATGATGGCAGAGGAGCTGAAGAAGGAGCAGGACACCAGCGCGCACCTGGAGCGCATGAAGAAGAACATGGAGCAGACCATCAAGGACCTGCAGCACCGGCTGGACGAGGCCGAGCAGATCGCCCTCAAGGGCGGCAAGAAGCAGCTGCAGAAGCTGGAGGTCCGGGTGCGGGAGCTGGAGAACGAGCTGGAGGCCGAGCAGAAGCGCAACGTGGAGTCGGTGAAGGGCATGAGGAAGAGTGAGCGTCGCATCAAGGAGCTCACCTACCAGGTGCGCTGGGGCAGCTGCTAGGGACAGGCCTTCCACCCCATGGCCTAAAGCTGGTGTGATTGACAGCTGCCCTGAAGAAATTAAGTATTTTCTGGTTGTGCCTTCCAGGAAGAAGGGTAGGGATGTGGCTCTCAGGTGCCCCCCTTTCCTTCTGCCCCCCTCTGTCCAACCCTGAGTTCCACTGGCCACAGACATCAATTTCTAAGCCTCCTGGTCTGTGAACTGCATCTCAGTTCGCCCTCAGTCTGTCCCCTGGTGACACAGACACAGCCCCTTCTGGCGAAGATCCCTAGAAAACAGACACTTAGTCCAAGTACTCCAGAGTCCTACACAAAGCTCAGAGCCCAGAGCTTCTTGTTTATCCAGGACAGGTAGACTTTCTTTTTCTAGAGTGTTTGTTGTTTTGTTTTTTTGTTTTTGTTTTTGTTTTCCAGAATCAGACCCAATTATATTTTTGTCTCTCTTTGGAGAATGTCCACCATTGATCTGAGCACACAGCAACCTTAAACCAAGTCTCAGTCATCTCCCCATGGCCAGGCAGCACCTTTAGGCCTGAGGTCCCAGAACTCAGCCCAGCATGTGCTAAGGATAAGGGCAGTTATTCTCCAGGGATCACTGGTCCCCTGAGGGCCGGCACCCTGGAATAATGCACACACAATTTAGTGCACAGTTTCAGCAGTCCCATCGGTTCTTCAGACCCTTTTCTGATATAGATCATCATAAATATTCATTTTTAATTGGAGAAAATCATAAAGCACTCACAAATGTTTGGTGGGGCTGAAGCAATAGTACGGCGGTAGGGTGTTTGCTTGCACGTGGACAACCTGGGTTCGATCCCTGGCATCCCATATGTCCCCTGAGCACCACCAGGACTAATTCCTGAGCGCACAGCCAGAAGTAACCCCTGATCATTGACCCAAAAAAGCAAATAAATAAATAAATAATATTGAGCCAGACTCTTACCTAGGGCAAAGACTACAAACAGGGGGATGCTCCAAGATCTGTGCCTCTCATCCCTGACATGCTCCACCCCACCCTCAACCCTGACTATCCCTCCCACCCGCCCCCCCAGACCGAGGAGGACAGGAAGAACCTGCTACGTCTGCAGGACCTGGTGGACAAGCTGCAGCTCAAGGTCAAGGCCTACAAGCGGCAGGCTGAGGAGGCGGTGAGTGGCCAGCGGGGCCCAACCCGGAGGAAGGACACGGGGGAGCTGGTCCTCCAGACCCGGAGCTGAAAAACCCTGGTGTCTGTCCCCACCCCCCCCCCCGACCCCCGCAGGAGGAGCAGGCCAACACCAACCTGTCCAAGTTCCGCAAAGTGCAGCACGAGCTGGACGAGGCCGAGGAGCGGGCGGACATCGCCGAGTCCCAGGTCAACAAGCTGCGGGCCAAGAGCCGTGACATCGGCGCCAAGGTGGGTCCCCGCTGACCTCGGCTCCCCCTGGCCTCTCCATATCAGACCCTGCCCCCTCCATCACCCTCTCCCCGACAGTGCCTCCTCCACGCCCCCCTACAAATGAGCCACAATGTGGGGACAACTCGGTCCTGCTCTGCTCACAACAGTTTGGTGAAACCCACTGCTGGGCTGGTCCACAGTCCTAGAGGACTTGATTTGTGGATACCCCGTGTGCCTCATTCCCCCACCCCACCCCACCCCCATCTGTTTGTCTCCACTCCTCTGTCGCCCGGTCTTGCTTCAGGTTGGCAACCAGACCTAACAAGAACATTCTGGAGGGCATCCTGGTGGCCGGAGGCCACCTCCCTTCTGCCCAACCCAGAGGCCTCTCTCCAGCACATGCCTCCTCACCCCCCAAGAGTCCTCCTCCCCCTCAGGGCCCCTTCCACCGCGGGGGGGCACCTCCCCCACGTCCTTTTCTGTGTGTGCCCACCCAACAGTCACCGTGCATGGCTCACCTGAGCCTTGTCTCCTTCCCAAAGGGCTTAAACGAGGAGTGATTTGGCCACCTCCCCTTGCGGTGCCCACGCAGCTCCGGGCCCCGAGCCGACAGCACAGCCCTTTGGAGGAAGCAGAATAAAGCGATTTTCCTTGAAGCTGAGAGTTTGCCTCCAGACTCTTCTTCGCTGCTTGTCAGCCCTTGGGCCCAGGGGACACGAGTGTGGGACACAGGGCAGTGGGGGCTGCTTCAAAGGACAGAGCTGGGAGGGCTCCTGGGCACCCCGGGAGGCTCTGGAAACCCCTCCCCCCTTCCCTCCTCCCAGCCAGGAGGCAGCTGCCCTCCTGCAGATCCCGGGTCACAGGGATCCAGAAAGCCCTTAGGTCCCAACTAGGCACATGGAAAACCCTCTGCTGGGGGCCTGCACCCCAACTTGGACCCCTTGTTACATTAGGGACAAGGGGTAGAGCAGAGGGGTGCTGATCGGTGCCATTTCTGGCCCCCGAGCAGTGACCTACCTAGGCGGTTGGACAGAGACAGTTATCTGGGAGGACAGCCACTGCTCCTTCAGACCCAGCACCCCACCCCCTGTCACCCCCTGTCACTCTGCTCCTCCTCTTCTTTCAGGGCCTTAGGTCTGGTTTCCTCCCTCCTCCCGCCAGTAAACTCTATTTCCAGATGCCCCTGGTTGGGCTTGCTGGGCAAGAGGTGTCCTTTGACCCACCATGATGGCTGTTTCTGGGTGGGGGTGGGGGGTGGGCGATGGGGGTCAGGCAGTTCACACATGAGCAGAACTGGGGGCTTGAGAAGGCCAGGGACAGGTCTCTGGAGGACCCAGTAGTGAGGAAGGAAGAAGCACCTCCCCCAATCTCTGATGCCCCGCTCCCTGGGGGTGCTCAGGAAAGGCTGAGATGTGGGGCCCCAGGCTGGGGTAAGGACAACAATGAGACCCACGTCTGAGTCAGCCTTCCTCTGGGAGTGCAGATGCCCCAGTTCCAGCCTGAGCAGAACTCCCTCCCCATCCCTCTGAGCTCTGAACCCCCGCAATGCAGCAAAGCCAGAGGGAGACCCCTCCAGGGAGGAGGGGGACAGTGTGGAGACCAGGAGAAACGGGGGGGGGGGGGGGCGGCAGGAAGACCTGAGAGGGGCCTGGAGAAAGAGCATGACCCTGGGGGGAGAAATGAGGGTGGGGACAGGGAGGGCGTCCAGGACAACCAACACAGGGAGAAGATTCTGGAAAGGGACCCACCCACGCCCCATTCTCCTCACCCTTGTCCATTCTCCGGCCCTGGCGCTCCTCTCCCAAGGGACAGACTGGGAGAACGGTGAGGAGCGGCGTTAACGCTCCGAGAGGCAGAGGAGGGGAAACCAGAGCCCGCAGAGAGAGGCCGCTCTGGACGCTGAGAGGAGGCGACGGAGCTGAGTCCCGGTAGAAAAGGAAGAAAGGGAGTGATGGGGGTGCGGGGGGGCGGGAGTTAGGTCCAGGGAGGAGACCTCAGTCACCTTTCGACAGGAAAACCAGGAATCCCAGTGAGGAACAGGGCCAGGAGGGGCAGGCGGGTCCCTGGTGCAAGAGGTCCCGGGCCAAGTAGAGAGCAGCACAGCGGGCAGAGGCCAGGCTGAGCTCAGCCGACCCCGAGAGGGGCGCAGATGTGGTGCCAGGGAGCATCTGTGGCCAGCGCCGACCTCTCAACGGGAACCTAGGGAGGGAAGGTGGAATCAGATGCGGCAACGGCAGACCAAGGGACAGGGGCCTGGCGGAGGAGAGATGAGCTGGTGCTGAGGAGGGGCGCCCAGCCTCCCGCTGCCCTCCCCTGCGGCCCCTCTGCCTCCACCCTGGGCCCGGTGCGCTCACCTTCAGCCGGCATCCCCACCATCCCAGCTCCCACTGGACCCACGGAGAATGAGGAGCTGCCCTGGGCAGCCGCCGCCGCGTAATGGAGAACAGGCGTGGACGCAAGTGCCTGGGGAGTGGTGGGGGGCCAAGGATAGGAAGAGGAGGACAGAGCAGGTCATTTGGGGGGGGGGCGACAGAGCCCGGCGAGCACGTGAGCCACCTCCCTTCTCTTCCTCCTCCTCCTCCTCCTCCTCCTCCTGTCCTAGGAGACAGCTCCTGGCCGCTCAGAGCTCGGGGTGCCCCGAGGACAGAGCTGGGCCTTGTCACCAGGACCTGACCCAGCCCCTGGTGTCCTCAAGCCCTTATCATGTCCCCGAGGTCGATGGGGACCAAGAGGTGACGCACTGAGCTACAGGCGTCATTGCGCCTAGCTGGGCCCCGAGTGACCTGGAATCGGCACAGGCAGCCCGGATTCTGGGGTCACGCTCTGGCCTGGGCACCTGAGGGAGAGGGAACGGGGGGTGGCTTGGGTGTCCCCAAGTGCTCTGCATGAGAGAAGCAGAATCGGGAGGTGGCTGCACGGGGCGGGGAGGGTCTCTGGGGGATGTCGGATGGGAAACCGCCCTCCAGCAGGCCCCCTCCAGCCCCGCCTCCCCACGGGAGCTATATTGAGAGGTGTCTGTAGATGGGGTAGACAGGCGAGAGACAGAGCAGGGGCATCTTTGTCTCCCGGACGCCGTGTCCACTTAGTCATAACAGGCACGGCCTGTGGCAGGCCTGACCGTGATCTCGAAGAGGTCGCATGGTGTCAGGGTGAGACAGGGCAGTCAGGGCCCACAGCACTCGGGGACTGCCACCAACAAGAAAGGTTTGTGAGGCTGGCCCGAGGGCCAAGTCCCGTAGCAGTACCTGGGCACGGGGAGCAGCCTGCAGGCCCTCCCCCGCCCCCTGAATGCATGCCCAGCTGGTGTAAATCCCCAGGCCCGCTGACTCTCCAGGCAGCCTCAGCCACACCTGCACCCTCTGGCAGCCCCACAGGCGGAAGGGAGCTGCCACCCCTCCCTCCGGGTCCCAGGATTAGCACCTCAGCCTCTCCCCACCCCCACCCTGCCAGCAGCAAAGAGCAGGGGGACTCTAAGGGAGGGGTGCACAGCCAGTAGGGAGGTTTAGGGGGGGTGTGCACGGACATGTGGCGTGTCTGCATGTGGCACGTACGTGTGGCATATCTGCGTGTGGCATGTCTGTATGGTGTGTCGGCCTGTGACACATAAGCGTGACAAGTATGTGTGTGGCGCATATGCGTGGCAAATCTACGCACACGCCTCCAAGCATGGCCTGGGTGGGTGAGGGTCCTGGGCAGTGAGTCTGGGGGGAAATCAGGGCATTGTTGGGGACCCCCTTCCTCACAGTGAGGCTGACTGGGAGCATTACGGCTGGAACCTCAGGGGGCTCCCCAGACCAGCACAGAGTCCAGGTTCTGGGAGGGCATCTGTCAGGAGCAAGGGGAGCAGAAGGAGAGCGGGTGCCCATGCAGGGAGGCACCCAGGCCCTTTCCCGGGGAAGGGCAGCTGAGTCACGCTGGACAGATTCCCTCCTGGGGCCTCCGGGCTCCAGCTCCCATCCCCAGCCCAGTGTGAGGACAAACTAGAGTAGAAGAGAGGGGTGCTGTGGGCTGGGGGATCATTTGGCCTGTGGGAGAAGGTGACCCTCATCCCAGCAGGTGCCAGCCACCCTCCAGGTTAAAAATAACCAAGGTGAGGGCCTTGCTGGCAGGCCGGGGCAGGGGAGCGGGTTCGCAAAGGTCCTGTCTCCCTACTATCTGCCCATCAGTCCTTTGGGGGCAGGAATGTGCCCAAGGACTAAAAAAAGGCCCTGGAGCCAGAGGCACTGGGGCGCGGACCTTTCATGGGCAAATCTGGAGGCCCTGCTGTCCTCCTGTCACCTCGGAGCCAAGGGATCAGGGGGGAGGAGCTGGCAGAGAGGTGGGAGGAAGGACACCCCGGGCGGGCGGGGGAAGCGGCAGTGACATATAAGGGACTGGGACTCCCGCGCACATGCAGACGCTCCTCAGGACCAGGTAAGAGGGGGTGACCAGCACAGAACCCAGAGACAGGGTGTACAGTCGGATGGGCCGTAGGGGCCTGGCAGGAACTTCTCTGTAGTCCCCCGAGTCCCTGAGTCTGAGGGGGAACCAGAGCCACTTCTCTCCTCTGTCCCCGCATGTCACCTCCGCCCTCTGCGTCTCCCACACGGTCTCCATTCTCCCCTGCCTCTGCCCTTCCATCCCGCTGTGGACTCTGATCTTGCTCTGCCCACCCCAGGCTTGTCATTCCCTCATCTCTTGTCTCTCCCTGGCCCTGTTCCTGTCTGTCCTGCTCCCTGGGGGCGGGGGGGGGGGGGCGGTTGCAGGCTGTCTTCCCTTTGCCAGGCTCTGGACCTCTTTCTCCTGGTTTCTTCTCTCTGCCAGCATCCCGCCACTGTGCAGACGCTTCAGGATTCTCTGTGAGGAAGGAACCAGGTGAGAACCAGCTCAGTTTTCTTTCTTTCTTTCTTTTTTTGGTTTAGTGTGTATTCTATTTTATTTTTATAGAGTTGTTCACCATAATTTATTATTCAATATTCCAACACCAATCCCACCACCATTACACCTTCCCACCACCATTATTTCACATTTTCCAACCACCACCCAACCAAGTTTTCTCTGTAGAGAGAAGAGCAAGCGTCTCTGGGAGCCAGGTGACTGGACCAGGACCTACTCTCTCTCTCTCTGTGTCTCCATCTCTCTCTCTCTTTTTCTCTCTGTCTCTCTTTGTCTCTCTGTCTCTCTGTCTCTGTCGCTGTCTCTGTCTCTCTCTCTTTCTCTGAGCTGATCAGGAACTATCCCACCCTCACACACCTTAGCCAAGTCCAGACCGCCCCGCCCCATGAAGACCCCTCTTCCCTCCCCATCAGGACCAGACAAGCCCCTGGCTTCTGGCCTCTGGTGCTGAGCAGCAGAGTCTGGTGCTTCTCAGACTGCAGTGAGAGAAGGGGCGGGAGTGGAATGGTGGGGGAGGCAGGACCGGGGGCAATGCCACCACCACTGACACCCAAGCCCTTCCATCTCCGCCCAGAAGAGCGGCAGAATGTCCGACGGGCAGATGGCCGAGTTTGGGGAGGCGGCCCAGTACCTCCGCAAGTCCGAGCAGGAGCGGCTGGAGGCCCAGACCCGGCCCTTCGACATCCGGACTGAGTGCTTCCTGCCCGATGACAAAGAGGAGTTTGTCAAGGCCAAGATCAAGTCCCGGGAAGGTGGCATGGTTACTGCCGAGACGGAGAACGGCAAGGTACACGGGACACCGGGCTCGGCATAGGAGGGCATTTTCGGGGGAAGGTACGTGGGTGGTGCCACTCGCTGCAGGAGCTACGGAAGACTGGGGAAGAGCCAACACCGGTGAGGGTGCAGGATATGCTGGTCTCTAAGTGCCCACTGTGACTTTCTCTGCTCACACCCCCCCAGGGGACTCAGCCAGCCTTGTTCTCAGATAAGGGGGGCCCAGGGTCACAGGCAGGAGCACACGAAGCTCTCTCGTGCCCGCCTCTCTGTGCCTCTATCCCCTCCCCCATTCTCCCAGCGCCCCCTTACCTGGACCTGGATGGAAACCAAACGCGCCAGTTCTCGAGCTGGTGAGGGGCTCTCAGAAGTCCCTAACCTGGGTCCCTCAGGCCAGCCACGGACTCACCGTGGCTCAAAGCCAGGGGCTCACACTTTCCTTGTCACTGGCCTCCCACGGGGATGAGGGTCAAGCCCATGGGCACTCTCATCCCTGGTCCTGCGGCTTGCCACCAGTTGTGAAAAGCCATTGTCTGGTGACTCGATCCACGGCTCCCTGTGGATTTTATACACATATGTGTGTGCTGGCTGACTGGCCCTGGGACTCTGATCAGGGCATGGTCAGTGCCATCAAGCCACACTTAGTTGTCAAGGACCATGGATGAGATGCTTCTCCAGCAGGCTTGAGGTGGAGGCTTGCTCTGAGCACCAACAGCCTCAGGCACTGCCCAGGAGTCAGAGTCAGAGATGAGAACAGACAGGAACGTGGCCAGCCCCTCTGAGTTTGCATTTGACACTTAAAGCAAGATCTGGCTGGTAGTAGGGGTTGGAACAGTAGCACAGAGAGTAGGACGTTTGCCTTGCACGCAGCCGACCTAGGTTCAATCCCCAGCATCCCATATGGTCCCCTGAGCACCGCCAGGTGTGATTCCTGAGTGCATGAGCCAGGAGTAATCCCTGTGCATCACTGGGTGTAACCCAAAAAGTAAAAAAAAAAAAAAAAAAAAAAAAACAACTGGCTAGTAACGGTCACAGGCACAGACACCCTAAAGAGTCTCCATGCTGGGAGAAGCCATGGGTGGTCAGTCCTGGGACCCCCCCCCCCAGGGCCCCAGTCTTGGTGAGAGAGGAGCGAGGAGAGAAAGGCAGGTCAGGGCCTGTGATCTGGGAGAAGGCCCATGGGTAGCTGAGGCCAGCAGGAGCCTGGTCATCTCCACGCTGCTACCCCCACACACTCCCACCCCAGACGGTGACCGTGAAGGAGGACCAGGTGCTGCAGCAGAACCCGCCCAAGTTCGACAAGATCGAGGACATGGCCATGCTGACCTTCCTGCATGAGCCCGCTGTGCTCTTCAACCTCAAGGAACGCTACGCCTCCTGGATGATCTACGTGAGTGCGCCCCATGCACAGCCCCAACCTACTTGATGTCCAGCAGTGTCCAGGAGGCTCTGTGTGTGGCCACTGCCCCCAGAGATGCCCCTGCCCTCCTCCCTCTGCCGGGTGCTCTCTGACCCTGAGGTCACCCTCCTTTCTCCCTCTTCCTTTCCTGCTCCCCACCCCAGACCTACTCGGGCCTCTTCTGTGTCACGGTCAACCCCTACAAGTGGCTGCCCGTGTACAATGCAGAGGTGGTGGCCGCCTACCGAGGCAAGAAGAGGACGGAAGCCCCGCCCCACATCTTCTCCATCTCAGACAACGCCTATCAGTACATGCTGACAGGTGAGGCCAGGCCCTGTGCCCTTCCCTCCACCCTGCCACCCCCACTATGAGCCTGGGCCTTCAGGCCTGATCCTTCTGCCTTTCCTCTTCTCTCCTAGA